ATAAATGCACACTATATCACAGTTTAAAGAGAGTCGAACTGTGCTATTATGGTAACGATTCTAATTTTGATAAAGAGAAGTTTGAGTTTATGCTACCTGTTAATACCTACTTAACTGTGCATAGTGAACACTTACTTGTTTTATATAATTTCTTTAATTTCGTTAAATATGCTCGTAATCAATATTTTTTTAAATAAGTAAAACTGTCGAACTCTGAACTAAAACGAGGATTAAGCCCGTGTGGACGTATTAGACTCTTACTTTTACTTTTAAAACTGTTCCAAAAAAACAAAGAACTCTCAAGTCTGTCCTATCGTATCACTTGAGGTAGGTCAGTGACTCACCTCTGAGAGGCTCGTGGGCGAATTTAGTTAAGGTACTACACTTTTTGCTTGTTTAAACATTGGTTTAATTTATTCATATTTAATAATAGGTCTAATAAACGTCAATGACCGATAACTGTGTTTTAAATTGGGACACTGCCAGATAGTGACTAAGTGGGCGAGTTGATCATTTTCTTATTTAGGTCAAAAATTTAAATACCAGCTTATGTAAAAAGCTGGCTATTTTTTTAAAGTTGAGAGAATAAATAACTAAAAATGATGTATTTCATGTCGTTATTATTTTATTAGGGTTTTTCTATAGGATAGGGTCACAAACGAGCACACAGTCCATCTGATGGTAAGTGGTAAGTGACCCATAGAAATCTACATCTATCCTCAATAAAGACTCAAGATGCAGATGCATTGTCACCCGTGAGGACTAAGATGGAATGCCTCTTTGCCAGTAAAAAGGGTCTCTGGTTCTCTACACTCACCATACGAAACACAGCAGCATTAAGCTGCTATTTTACGCTGGTATTCTGTGAGAGCGTGGTCCTTCCACGGTCGAGCCGACCCATTCGTGCAACAATTATACCACGTAAAAAATTTTAGGGTTACCACATTAAAAAGGTAATTTGCAAATTAAAAACTTTCCCATATTACAATCTATATAGTAAAATCTTAGCGAAGAGCATTACCCTAAGAGATTCACTATCTAATTGAATATAATATATGAATTTATTATATAATACTACCTGGTACCCGGTGCTTTGCTGCTGCAGAAGAAATGATTGTTGAAATATCGTTTTATATTTGTTATATAGTTTAATTAGGAACGATAATAAAATCATTGAAATTGAATGATTTATAACATTCAAACAAATTGCCGGTACGATACGCGCGCCGCCTAATGTCAGTTAATTGTACTACACCTATAAACTTCGCGCAAGTGCAAGCAATAAGTTGATAAAGTTTTACCGCAATCTGATGAACGACATCACAGCGCATAAAATACGAACAAACAAAAATTAATTTTTATATATTAGACGAACGAGGTCATTTACTATTAGAATATTAGGAAGTTCAAATGTAATAACAAATAGTAACGCAAATTGTAATGGTATATATATTATATCAGTCTTACTACAAGTAGCTTTTGTATCTTTTCTTACATTATTAACAGAGTTCAAAAAACTAGTAGGTTCTATATTTATGTACGTATGTTTTTTATGCATGATCACCGATAACTCGGAAACATCAGAACCGATTCAAATGATCATTTTTTTAAACAGGTCAGGGATGATCCTACACAAATTTTAAGAAAAATATCCCAAAGGGTGGCAAAATAGGGGATAAATATTTAAATATAACTATTTAGGCGGCATTCTATTTTTAGTTAGTAACTTTTAATTCCTTAGACTAAAGGGGTAAAACAAAACTTTTAATAAATATGTAAAATTCGACTGCAAAATCAATCGGTGATGAGACATTCTATATCAAAGAACGAAAGCCCGCGGCTGCAGAATCCATTATTTTATTATTTTTAATTATTGAAGGCTGTTTTAACGTTTTACTATAAATAGTATAAATAGTAAATAGAGTACTATAAATAGTCGATGAAAGCATTCAATGGCGACAGAAAAAAGCAACATCTCTATCCAACAACAAGCTTTTAACACGACCGTGAGAACCAAGCCATAAAGCGAAGTCACTTCTGGTAATGCAACGGAAAACAGTCAAGTTTTATTAGATTCAATTCCTCGGAATACTGTTGAGAAAGGAAACAGCGCAGTACCAATTCTGCGGACACCGATCACGTTCTACTGCCGTTCTAATAAAATAAGTTGTCCTTTAGATAAATCATCATCTAAACTTTTTTTCCATAAACAAGAGAGCATATTATCTTCTTTATATGTAAAAATCAATTGCTATACGTTAGTCTCGCTAAAACTCAAAAACGGCTCGCCGATTTTGACGAATTTTTTTCTGTGCGTTTGAATGGGGGACCCATGATGGTTTAGATTCACATTTGGATCCGGTAGGTGGCGTTGTGTTCTTAAATAAAAAACGGCATAAATTAAGTAGTTTTAGGTAGGATTTGATTTAATCGCTACGCTTGGCAGTCGTATAGGCAATTGCAGTATGTACCAAATGCTTCGCACCTCTGATGCTGCTCTTCAATAGCGCTCTCTGTATTTCCTACTTAAAAGCTAATAACACTCTAAATTTTCTCTAAAGAATTTAAAATATTTTGAGGTAACAACAGGTACTAGAACTGGTACGATAGACAGTTTTTGGAGGTTTTCTTATCTACATTTTTTGTCACTTTATATAATGTCTTCAAGATAAGCGATAGTCATCCCCTGAAAACTTTGATTGTTATGTGATCAAGAACAATCAACTGTTGCCTCCTACTCTATACTCACAAAACAAAAGTCGTGTAATTATCTAAATAAAAGGCGTGTTAAGGCCTCACACTCGACTCGGCACGGCGGCATGAATTATGGATGAAGCTGCAGCGCATTTTGTATCAGCTATTTCAAACCTGCTTGCTATTCCAAACGCTTCGTTACCTGTAATGAGAGAAAAAGGGATTAGTACAATGCTATGCGCTGTTTTGGACCGGGATGCGAGCCACGTGCATATTGACAGCCGCAACCGTTACTCACTGAGCCGGCGCGACTGTATTGAATACAAATTTTGTTAGCAATGTTTTTTAAAAAGATTTACCGGTTGGAAGCCGGTGAATTATTACTTTTATTTGTAATTTATTTCTCTTTATTTACGCATAAATTTCCTTGGACATATTTATGTGCGGTGATAGCTCAGGGACAGGACCATCACCTCAATATAGTACGTACGTCGTAAACAACCCAAAATAACAACAAAAGCGCACAGTTCACCTGATGATAAGGTTTTCTGAGGCCGATAGATACTTTAGATATTATACTCTGACATATTTTCACTCCTGGGGATCAAGATGAAATCGTCAGTCACATACGATACACAACCACATTATGCTCTTCTATTTAACGCTGATATTCTGTGGGAGCGTGGCCTTTTCCCGGTCTCGCCGACTTTATCGTACTGCAGCCCTAAAATACCTAGCTGCAGCAATTAATATGTATACCTAGCTGCTGGCTCTACCACAAAAGATAAAAAGTTACGGCATATATACGTCCCACAGCTGAGCACAGGCCTCCCCTCATTTCTGAATGGGTTTTAGGGCTAGGAAGTGTCCGCCGCTCTGCCCCAATGCGTGTAGAGAATTTCATATGTCTTCGAAATTTATTTTTCTTATTTCTCAGACATGCAGGTTTCGTCACGATGTTTTCCTTCACCGCCGAGCACATGGCTCTACCATATTCAACTGGATTTTTTATTGTTTTCCCACGTATTCTGCAATGAAGATAAACATAGTTAAAAAACCTGCATAGCTGAGAAATTAAATATAATAAGTCGTTGTGTGGTCATAAACAAGCACCGGAAAAGTACGTTAGAACATTGGTATAGTCCAAATTTACACTATGGCGTTAGGTTCTACGTTCCATTTCCCTGTCGCAATGTACATGTGGCCATTGAACGGTTAATATGGTGTTTCTTTATTTTGCTAAAAATTTATTGAACCAATGTAAAAAGTTTTAAATTATTAAATTATATGTGTCGTGTTTTCTTTGCATAAATTACTTAAAATTTATAATGATTTTAATTATATAAGTTGATTAATGAGACTGCATCTCGCACAGCGCTTAAGTCATCCTCAGACTTATTCCATGTGCATTTTATTACCTGCATTTCGTTTATCGGTAGGAGGCTGCCACTCTATCCCTATTCCCTATTCCTATTCCCATGATCAGTCCTTCATCAAAGCAGTCACAGGGCAGTGCATCGCAGACAGAAAATTACATTCCTAGACTGTATTACTTTTAATTTGCTAAAACTTTCTACAGCAGCTTTTGAGTCACAAAACGTGTTTCTTCATAGTACATAACTCGCTCCGTATTTTAAAATAACCTTACGTTATCAACTCTCATTGTTCCGCAACTCTATTGCGACAACAAGAGCAATGACATTGCGCCTCTGTTATAAAACTGGGAACACACTTGAGGACTGAGTGGTTAACTTCGTTTAGCACTATTATTTCATTCTGTGTTTTTACTCTAACTTTACTATTACACATGTTTGTTAAATCTAGGCATTATTAAATTAATAGATACAGAAATAGATATTTTTATTGTACATACCAAAACACAAATGAACAGAAAAAATAAAATATCAAATGTTAAAAGGCAATTTCTTCCAGACAACCACATAATAGACAAACTTGAAACTCTCAAATGCATATAGTAGAGAATGACGTAAGTTTAATAAGGCTAAAAATGTAAATAGCAGATGTCAGTACATTTTATATTTTTGTAATAAAAGTGATAGAGAAGTACTAAAAATAAGTAATTAAATACATTTCTACCATTTTTAGATTTTTCTGTCTGTCTGTCTGTTTGTTTGTTAACGTATCACGTATAAAGTACTAATTTATATCATAAGAATCGTTAAGCCCGGCGCCCCTTTAATGGGGCAGGGGTGCGAAGAATCTCCGGGAGAAAAACCGGCGACGAGGTTCGCCACCCGTCACGTCCTGTCTCCCGGAGGGGCGAAAAGTGGATTGCGGAGGCCCGTCTGGCTACGCTGAATGTATGTGGAGCAATGAATGATAAGATGGATGAAGTATGCGAAATGATGAATGATAGAGGAATAGATGTGTTATGTGTAAACGAGACGAAACGAAAGGGAAGAGATGTCACTGCACATGGCATGTATACCGCTTACTGGTCTGGAGTAGAGGAGACCGAGCGGGCATGCCAGGGAGTCGGTGTCATCCTTTCAGAAAGAATGGGTCAATGTGTGAAAGAGTATGAATGTGTTAGCCCAAGGCTGCTGTGGATACGAATGAAAGTGGGCTTAAAGAAGTTGTTTGTGCTAGGGGTGTACGCCCCAGATATGTCTAAGCCCACTTATATCCGAGAGCAGTTTTGGGACATGGTAAGGCTGGTGTTGATGAAATGTAAGGAAAATGAAAATATTATTATGTTAGGAGATTTTAATGGAAGGGTGGGGGTGAAGAGGTCTGGTTATGAAAGGATATTAGGAACGTTTGGCGATGAAAGAATAAATGAGAATGGTGAAGACCTCCTCACCGTATGTGTGGAAAAGAATCTTTTTGTGGCGAACACTTTCTTTCGCCATAAGAGGATTCACATGTATACATGGGAAAGAGGGGATGATAGAAGCATGATAGATTTTATAATTGTGGATGAAAGAATGAGGAGCGCAGTGGTAGATACAAGGGTTTACCGGGGGTCCAACGTAGGGACGGATCATTACTTGGTCTTATGCCGAATTAATGGTCTATTCAGACGTTGGCGGCATCGGACATCGGTGTCTGCCACTGCGTTACAGCGTATAAGAATAGAGAGGTTACAAGATGAAGGTGTGAAAGAGAAGTATAAATGCAGACTGAGGGAAAATATAAGTGGGTTGAATGAATTATGTATGAATGATTTAGAATTGAAGAATGTATGGAATAATATTAAGAGAGTTCTGGTGGATGCAGCCACCGAAGTATGCGGTGTAAGTAAGAGAACGAATGAAAGGAAAAGTAATACGTTGTGGTGGGATGATGAGGTACGGATGGAAGTTGAAGCAAAGAAGAGAGCATGGCTAGATTTACTAGCAACTAAAGCTGGTAATTCTGGCGGTATGAATGATGAGATTGAAAGAAAAAAGGCAAACTTTAGACGTATAAATAAGAGAGTAAAAGAAGTTGTTGAAAGGAAAAAGCAAGAAAGGATAGATAAAAATGATAGAAGGATATCTGATAACTTCCAGGAAAATATTAAAATGTTCTGGAAGCTCGTAAGAACTGCCAGGGGAAATTCAAAACAGCCTAGAATGAATGCTATACGAGACGAGAATGGCTGCATGCTGAATGATGAAGTTTCGAATTTAAAGAGATGGAAGGAATACTTTGAAAGCGTGTTTAAGAGTGAAGAGTCGTCTGAAATAAGTGAAATAGAAATTCCGGAAGAAGTGGAGAGAGGTAGGGAGATAAGTGTAGATGAAATAATGAAAGCAATGAAAAGCATGAAAGCAGGTAAGGCAGCCGGATATGATAGAGTATCACTCGAAATGCTAAGGGCTGGTGAGGGTGTGGTTGCAGGCCTGCTGCACACCTTGTTTAATTTATGTTGGGAACTGAAACGGGTACCGGAAGACTGGTGCAAAGCCGTTATAGTCCCAATATATAAGGGAAAGGGGTCGCAGCAGGACTGTAAAAACTACCGTGGTATCAGCTTGCTTAGCATTGTGGGTAAACTGTATGCTAAGGTATTAATTGAAAGAGTTATGGAAGAAACTGATGGAAAAATTTGGGATGTGCAAGCTGGATTTAGAAAGGGGATGGGGTGTACGGATCAAGTCTTTTCCATGCGCATGATAGCCGAGAAGTTTTTGGCTAAAAACCAGAAAGTTTTTTGTGCGTTCTTGGACTTGGAAAAGGCTTATGACAGAGTGGACAGGAACGTGTTATGGCAAACACTGAACTCATTTGGGTTGAGCGCTGGCTTGATACAGGCATTAAGGTCTCTTTATAGGGACTCTAGTGCTTGTGTCAGGATCAACGGGGTCTACTCGGACTGGTTTGGCATTCATAAAGGTGTCAGACAGGGATGTGTGGCTTCCCCGTGGCTGTTTAACCTATTTATGGACAGTTGTTTGCAAACTTTGAAAGTTGAAGAATGTGGGTTGAGAATGGGTGAATCAACCGTCAAATGCCTTTTGTACGCCGATGATCAAGTCATATTTGCATCGTCGGCGGCCGAGTTGCAAATGATGGTTACTTTAATGAATTGTTCATTGAAAGAAAGGGGTATGAAAGTGAACGCAAGTAAGACGAAAGTGATGGTTTTTGAAAGAGAAGAAAGTAAAACTTTATGTAAAATAAGAATAGAAGGGGAGTTGATTGAGCAAGTGGATGAGTTTGTATATTTGGGATGTTTATTTAGCAGGGATGGTAGATATGATAAGGATATAGAACGACGAGTGAACGCAGGAAATAGAGTGAATGGGGCTCTACACGCTATTGTGAGGAGTCAGAATGTGTCAACTAAGGCACGTATGGCAATTCATAATGCTGTGTTAGTACCCACTTTAATGTATGGTAGTGAAAGTTGGGTCTGGCAGAAGAAGCATGAGAGTAGAATAAATGCTGTAGAAATGCGTTCCTTAAGGAGTATGCTAGGGCTGAATCTGAATGACAGGGTGAGAAATAGTGTAATAAGAGAAAAGTGTGGTTTGCAAGATGACGTTGTGACAAGGATTAAGAAAGGAATGCTTCGGTGGTTTGGTCACGTAGAAAGAATGAACGAGGAAAGAGTGACAAAGCAAATTTATGTTGCAGAAGTGAACGGCAGGGTCGGGAAGGGACGCCCTAGACGAAGGTTTATCGACCAGATCGGCGATACATTGAAAATGGGCCAGATTAGGAGTACCCTTAACCGACGAGCGTGTATGCGTAGATATATGGATGTGAAAGAGGCGAGAGAGGTGTGTCAGGATCGCGCCAAATGGAAGTCCGTAGTCTCTGCCTACCCCTCTGGGTGACAGGCGTGAGTGTTTATGTATGTATGTATGTAAGAATCGTTAAGGAAATTATTAAGTGTATCTTCGGGTTACATGTAGTCTTTATTTCATTAAAATCAGTTCATTCCATCAAAAGTTATGATAAATATTCTGAAGTATGGATACGCAGTATAGCTACGAATTTGTTCAATGACGACGTTGGATAAGTCATCAAGTACATTTTAAACTAATATGATATTATAAATCATAATTAAATGACGTAAAATAATGTTCTATAATGATATAATTATATCTAAAACGCAGTAAATAAAAGTATTACATAAAGAACGTAATAAATATATATCAAAATATATTACCGAAATCTAAAGTATAATAGTTAACCAATTTAATCGATAGATTGTGGTGTTGATCAAATGTAATACAAAAAGGCAGGTTGTGGTTTTTTTTCTGTAGATGGGTTTTTCATATTTGCTTCTAATCTTTATATTACACACTGCCCTACTGCGTGTTGACAATCTCATTTAATCTTTACCGCCGAGTACTCTATGTGGTAAATAAAATTTTAAAAGAGCTATTAACAATTTCGTTGGTTTCGGGGAGGATCAAACTTTATTTTTTTCTTACTATGCCGCCACTGATTTATATGTTCTTTTATGTTTTTATTGTATCAATCGCGTCAATTAATCTCTTATTTGTAGAATTGATATTAACAGCGCCATCTCTCTTTAAATCTATACATATAATAAAAGTGGTGATAAGTTATTAACATGTTATCACTGATAACATGTTGTGTCTGAGATTGTATAGTATATTAATTTGTGACTAAAATCATAATGGTGACTAAAAATCGTTAAATAAGTACATTTTTATAAGTTTTAGAATTGTACTGTCTGACGGTCTGCCTATTTGTTTATGAATGCATGACATTTTGAGTAAACATCTTTTTTTCAAAGAAATCCTTATCCTTAAGAAAATCATAAAGCGTATCATCGAGTTCATTTAATCTTTGTTTTATTAAAATTGGTTGATTCTATCGAAAATTATAATTATTGTTTTGAAATGTAGGTTCGAACTTGTTTAATGGCGCCATAAAATCTCAGAAATAGTAATAAAAAGATTTGTGTGCAAAAAACGTTCTATTATAATATATTTATACTTAAAAGACAGTAAATAAAAAAATATGCTTTACTTAAATTATAAAAAGGATGTTTTCTTACAAAGAACGTAATAGATGGCGTTGTACAAATTACAACCTTTTCTGAATTACAGTGTTAAGATTTTTCGCCTGTGAATCGTATTGAGACTCATTGAAGAAATTCATGTCCATGAGTCGGATGAAGCAGGAAGAGCCGTGAGCCAGAAAAAGATATATAAGCCTAAGCATATATACAGTAATCTATGCGCCTAAGTTATGCAACAAAACTCGACTAAATGTCTAAAAGTAGCAATAGCGAAATTGCAACAAACAACAAAATGTCGTTATATTGTTTTATATTTATACCCACAATCTCTCTAATATCAAATAACTTTACTTTCAGTTTTAAGCGTGTTCAGTTCCCACTTCCCACTAAGCGTTTGTTATGTGATGACCGTAAATAAAGCGCAAGGTCAAACTTTACGCGTTGCAGGAGTCGACCTCAGACTGACTGTTTTGCACATAGTCAACGCTATGTTGCTTTTTCCCGCGTTAGTAGCCCCTGTAACCTTTATCTGTACGCCCCGGCTAACTCTGCTTCTAACGTCGTTTACACAGAAGCTCTATCATAAACGACGTAGAACTTTGAGCATATCGATTTATTTTTTTACCACTTATTCATACAGTAATGATATAAACCGTTAATATTCTCTTACCCTCAACGTCAAATTCTTTAAGTAAAACCTATATACGCGAGTTACGCCACGGGCACAGCTAGTTTACATAATATAATATTATACAATATTTACTGAGTACAAAAAAAAAACTAAAATTGTCAAAAAGTCCTAGAACCCGCGGTATATTGCCGAGAACACTGCTTGCGTTTCCACGCTATATATATGTAATAATGGTATAAAAATGGCTGCAAGAGTGATTGTATAAGAGAATCACCCCATAAATTCTACACCCAGGTACATATCAAGTGAAAATTACAGCTTCCGACGGATTGCAAAAAGGCCACCTTTTTGTACGCAGGACCTAAGATACACAACGTGGTGTCATACGCCCCTAGTTACTCTCACTCACTAACACCCCTAGCCTTTGCAAAGGTGTGTTATATCTGATACAACAAGAAATAATCTACAGCGTAAAGCTATTAAGGCACATTTTCCAGCTCTCGAAGAAGTCTAGATGGATTAATGAAGAAGAAGCTAGAAGGATTATGATGGTAATAACTCTTTATTGACCTAGCGATTGTGGTCGACTGAACAACGTAACCGAAACACGTACGAGGTTTGGGTAACCGAAAAAAGCGGAAAAGTAATCCAAAAACTGTTAAGATGTCCAAAAGGCACTTCAACGATTTTGAACTTTCTGATAAAAGACGAGAGGTTGAGATCAAATTTTAGCAAAAAGCGGTATTACTTCTACTATTATTTATTCTGTGGTATTACCATAATTTAAAATTAAAAATTTTATACATCCAACTTCAATATAAACTATTAAGAATCACTCAAAAACTATAGATCAGACCTTGATCTAATTTATATGGAACCCCACATGTGAAGCACCAGTTTTCAAATAAAAAAGAATCATTGAAATCGGATCACCCAGAAAGAAGTTATGAGGTAATACATATAAAAAAAACATACAGTCGAATTGAGTACCTCCTCCTGTTTGAAGTCGGTAGAAAAGGATGGTATCAGGTCTACAATCACCAACCCGTTAATCTAGTGAGTTGAGTACAACTTAAATGAAATGTTTGCCTGCTGACCTCCAGGGGCAAGCTTCAAAGGATCACGAAACATTATCACGTCATATGTATTCAACCTAAGCTACACAGTATTATTACAGTACATTAGCTACGCATGAGTGGCTAGAAACAACAGCACCGACGACAGGTTACTTAAAGAGGCACCTGTGTCAAGACTACTTCATTGTACTAGTAATATCTCATTTATTTACGTAACAGAACGGATCTTGAACTTCGTTATAGTTAAAGAAATCTATTATGTATTAACCGTCAAAGCAATGAAATATTTGCTTGTGTATTTTCGAAGAACTAAAGACTACGAATTCGAAAGAAAATTTATCTAAAGACGAAACAATACTGAGTACATATTAAATACAATAAATTGAAATGTACAAAAAATTTTACTCAAATATTATGTCTTTGATAATTAAAAAAATAATCTTAATTCTAACGGAGAACTTCATAAGAGTGACATATTTTAACGAAATAAAAAAAAATAAGAGTCCGCTAGAACTACAATCTCTAACTCGCTTATGAATGGTTTTTTGGATGAGTATTTGAGTGGATGGATGGATGAATGAATAGCAACGTAAAAAACAAATTCATGGATGATTCAATCAATCAAACAATATCGCCTCCGCGACTATCGCAGACGATTTGAGCAGTGTGTGCTTGTGATATGATACTTCTTTTAGTGACTGTAAAACCGATGTGGGAGCGCCAAGAGCGTTTACAGACGTGTGTTGCGACGAATGGAAAATTGCTCCTTTGTGCCGCTTAGCTCTATTGGACCAAGCTCTGTCATGTAGTTTTTCGCCCAAATTGACGTGAGTTCCCTACTGTATCTTGTCCACCGCCAGCTTCTCCCACTTACCATGCTCGATGTTGAATGAGCTCAAGTCATACCTGACGCTGTCTTTAAGTGTAGAAGAGGTAGAATAGAATAGAATAATTTTTTATTCAATATTGAGTATAATATATAGCAATAATTTACATAATAGGTACTTATTGAAAGTCATTTTTTATTTACCACTGGCTCGGAAAACACACCAGTCCTGGGAAGAACTTTTTTATTCAAACATATTTCATTTAACAATAACTTCGTTTATATACAATTTTTAAATAATTTTTCATAGAACCAGCATGGTGGCGATCGCCTTATTCCCAGGGGTTATTTTCATTCATGTATTCCTTGATATTATAATAACCCTTTTTGTGCAGTTTTTCTTTAATAAAACTTTTAAACTTGTTTATTGACAAACTTTGAATATGTTCTGGCATTTTGTTGTAAAAGCGTATACATTGCCCCATAAATGAATTACTGATTCTGTGAAGTCTAGGAAATAGCATTACAAGCTTATGTTTGTTCCTACTGTTTAAAGTATGCACATCCTTATTCCTATTAAAGCTATTTATTTTTATATATTATTATTATTCTATTTTATGCACATACATTACATCCAACACTCCTCGTTGCATCCACCACTAAACTAAACAATGACTTGCTTCGGAAGACGAGACGATATATATATATATATATATATATATATATATAAATTATATATTAAAGAGGGTATAAGTAAGTAGGAATCATGTGTCATTAGCCATTTATGAATTCGGAAGTTATACTTGCAACTGTAAATCACCCGCAGAATATTTTTTCTCCAAAATCAAAATTAGATATGTTTTATTCACTTTAGGCTTATTCTAATATCTGAGAGCGCATATGTGGAAGAAAGTGTCCACCGCAGACTTTACACGTTCTCGAAATAACTTTAATTTTTCTGACATGCAGGTTGCCTCAACATATTTTCGTTATTACGATTAAAATTAGCACTCAACTTGCAATAAAAATTCCATCACTCCCTACATGCATGTAATCAATAAGTATCTCCGTAATAAACC